CGTTTAGAGGCGCCTCAAACCTGCCATGTGCCGCATTCCCTCGCTGCCCTCACCACGTTTAGAGGCGCCTCAAACCTGCCATGTGCCGCATTCCCCTCGCTGCCCTCACCACGTTAGAGGCGCCTCAAATGCCATGTGCCGCATTCCCCTCGGCCCTCACCACGTTTAGAGGCGCCTCAAAACCTGCCATGTGCCGCATTCCCCTCGCTGCCCTCACCACGTTTAGAGGCGCCTCAAAACCTGCCATGTGCCGCATTCCCCCGCTGCCCTCACCACGTTTAGAGGCGCCTCAAAACCTGCCATGTGCCGCATTCCCCTCGCTGCCCTCACCACGTTTAGAGGCGCCTCAAAACCTGCCATGTGCCGCATTCCCTCGCTGCCCTCACCACGTTAGAGGCGCCTCAAAACCTGCCATGTGCCGCATTCCCCTCGCTGCCCTCACCACGTTTAGAGGCGCCTCAAAACCTGCCATGTGCCGCATTCCCCTCGCTGCCCTCACCACGTTTAGAGGCGCCTCAAAACCTGCCATTGTGCATTCCCCTCGCTGCCCTCACCACGTTTAGAGGCGCCTCAAAACCTGCCATGTGCCGCATTCCCCTCGCTGCCCTCACCACGTTTAGAGGCGCCTCAAAACCTGCCATGTGCCGCATTCCCCTCGCTGCCCTCACCACGTTTAGAGGCGCCTCAAAAACCTGCCATGTGCCTTCCCCTCGCTGCCTCACCACGTTTAGAGGCGCCTCAAAACCTGCCATGTGCCGCATTCCCCTCGCTGCCCTCACCACGTTTAGAGGCGCCTCAAAACTGCCATGTGCCGCATTCCCCTCGCTGCCCTCACCACGTTTAGAGGCGCCTCAAAACCTGCCATGTGCCCGCATTCCCCTCGCTGCCCTCACCACGTTTAGAGGCGCCTCAAAAACCTGCCATGTGCCGCATTCCCCTCGCTGCCCTCACCACGTTTAGAGGCGCCTCAAAACCTGCCATGTGCCGCATTCCCCTCGCTGCCCTCACCACGTTTAGAGGCGCCTCAAAACCTGCCATGTGCCGCATTCCCCTCGCTGCCCTCACCACGTTTAGAGGCGCCTCAAAACCTGCCATGTGCCGCATTCCCCTCGCTGCCCTCACCACGTTTAGAGGCGCCTCAAAACCTGCCATGTGCCGCATTCCCCTCGCTGCCCTCACCACGTTTAGAGGCGCCTCAAAACCTGCCATGTGCCGCATTCCCCTCGCTGCCCTCACCACGTTTAGAGGCCGCCTCAAAACCTGCCATGTGCCGCATTCCCCTCGCTGCCCTCACCACGTTTAGAGGCGCCTCAAAACCTGCCATGTGCCGCATTCCCCTCGCTGCCCTCACCACGTTTAGAGGCGCCTCAAAACCTGCCATGTGCCGCATTCCCCTCGCTGCCCTCACCACGTTTAGAGGCGCCTCAAAACCTGCCATGTGCCGCATTCCCCTCGCTGCCCTCACCACGTTTAGAGGCGCCTCAAAACCTGCCATGTGCCGCATTCCCCTCGCTGCCCTCACCACGTTTAGAGGCGCCTCAAAACCTGCCATGTGCCGCATTCCCCTCGCTGCCCTCACCACGTTTAGAGGCGCCTCAAAACCTGCCATGTGCCGCATTCCCCTCGCTGCCCTCACCACGTTTAGAGGCGCCTCAAAACCTGCCATGTGCCGCATTCCCCTCGCTGCCCTCACCACGTTTAGAGGCGCCTCAAAACCTGCCATGTGCCGCATTCCCCCTCGCTGCCCTCACCACGTTTAGAGGCGCCTCAAAACCTGCCATGTGCCGCATTCCCCTCGCTGCCCTCACCACGTTTAGAGGCGCCTCAAAACCTGCCATGTGCCGCATTCCCCTCGCTGCCCTCACCACGTTTAGAGGCGCCTCAAAACCTGCCATGTGCCGCATTCCCCTCGCTGCCCTCACCACGTTTAGAGGCGCCTCAAAACCTGCCATGTGCCGCATTCCCCTCGCTGCCCTCACCACGTTTAGAGGCGCCTCAAAACCTGCCATGTGCCGCATTCCCCTCGCTGCCCTCACCACGTTTAGAGGCGCCTCAAAACCTGCCATGTGCCGCATTCCCCTCGCTGCCCTCACCACGTTTAGAGGCGCCTCAAAACCTGCCATGTGCCGCATTCCCCTCGCTGCCCTCACCACGTTTAGAGGCGCCTCAAAACCTGCCATGTGCCGCATTCCCCTCGCTGCCCTCACCACGTTTAGAGGCGCCTCAAAACCTGCCATGTGCCGCATTCCCCTCGCTGCCCTCACCACGTTTAGAGGCGCCTCAAAACCTGCCATGTGCCGCATTCCCCTCGCTGCCCTCACCACGTTTAGAGGCGCCTCAAAACCTGCCATGTGCCGCATTCCCCTCGCTGCCCTCACCACGTTTAGAGGCGCCTCAAAACCTGCCATGTGCCGCATTCCCCTCGCTGCCCTCACCACGTTTAGAGGCGCCTCAAAACCTGCCATGTGCCGCATTCCCCTCGCTGCCCTCACCACGTTTAGAGGCGCCTCAAAACCTGCCATGTGCCGCATTCCCCTCGCTGCCCTCACCACGTTTAGAGGCGCCTCAAAACCTGCCATGTGCCGCATTCCCCTCGCTGCCCTCACCACGTTTAGAGGCGCCTCAAAACCTGCCATGTGCCGCATTCCCCTCGCTGCCCTCACCACGTTTAGAGGCGCCTCAAAACCTGCCATGTGCCGCATTCCCCTCGCTGCCCTCACCACGTTTAGAGGCGCCTCAAAACCTGCCATGTGCCGCATTCCCCTCGCTGCCCTCACCACGTTTAGAGGCGCCTCAAAACCTGCCATGTGCCGCATTCCCCTCGCTGCCCTCACCACGTTTAGAGGCGCCTCAAAACCTGCCATGTGCCGCATTCCCCTCGCTGCCCTCACCACGTTTAGAGGCGCCTCAAAACCTGCCATGTGCCGCATTCCCCTCGCTGCCCTCACCACGTTTAGAGGCGCCTCAAAACCTGCCATGTGCCGCATTCCCCTCGCTGCCCTCACCACGTTTAGAGGCGCCTCAAAACCTGCCATGTGCCGCATTCCCCTCGCTGCCCTCACCACGTTTAGAGGCGCCTCAAAACCTGCCATGTGCCGCATTCCCCTCGCTGCCCTCACCACGTTTAGAGGCGCCTCAAAACCTGCCATGTGCCGCATTCCCCTCGCTGCCCTCACCACGTTTAGAGGCGCCTCAAAACCTGCCATGTGCCGCATTCCCCTCGCTGCCCTCACCACGTTTAGAGGCGCCTCAAAACCTGCCATGTGCCGCATTCCCCTCGCTGCCCTCACCACGTTTAGAGGCGCCTCAAAACCTGCCATGTGCCGCATTCCCCTCGCTGCCCTCACCACGTTTAGAGGCGCCTCAAAACCTGCCATGTGCCGCATTCCCCTCGCTGCCCTCACCACGTTTAGAGGCGCCTCAAAACCTGCCATGTGCCGCATTCCCCTCGCTGCCCTCACCACGTTTAGAGGCGCCTCAAAACCTGCCATGTGCCGCATTCCCCTCGCTGCCCTCACCACGTTTAGAGGCGCCTCAAAACCTGCCATGTGCCGCATTCCCCTCGCTGCCCTCACCACGTTTAGAGGCGCCTCAAAACCTGCCATGTGCCGCATTCCCCTCGCTGCCCTCACCACGTTTAGAGGCGCCTCAAAACCTGCCATGTGCCGCATTCCCCTCGCTGCCCTCACCACGTTTAGAGGCGCCTCAAAACCTGCCATGTGCCGCATTCCCCTCGCTGCCCTCACCACGTTTAGAGGCGCCTCAAAACCTGCCATGTGCCGCATTCCCCTCGCTGCCCTCACCACGTTTAGAGGCGCCTCAAAACCTGCCATGTGCCGCATTCCCCTCGCTGCCCTCACCACGTTTAGAGGCGCCTCAAAACCTGCCATGTGCCGCATTCCCCTCGCTGCCCTCACCACGTTTAGAGGCGCCTCAAAACCTGCCATGTGCCGCATTCCCCTCGCTGCCCTCACCACGTTTAGAGGCGCCTCAAAACCTGCCATGTGCCGCATTCCCCTCGCTGCCCTCACCACGTTTAGAGGCGCCTCAAAACCTGCCATGTGCCGCATTCCCCTCGCTGCCCTCACCACGTTTAGAGGCGCCTCAAAACCTGCCATGTGCCGCATTCCCCTCGCTGCCCTCACCACGTTTAGAGGCGCCTCAAAACCTGCCATGTGCCGCATTCCCCTCGCTGCCCTCACCACGTTTAGAGGCGCCTCAAAACCTGCCATGTGCCGCATTCCCCTCGCTGCCCTCACCACGTTTAGAGGCGCCTCAAAACCTGCCATGTGCCGCATTCCCCTCGCTGCCCTCACCACGTTTAGAGGCGCCTCAAAACCTGCCATGTGCCGCATTCCCCTCGCTGCCCTCACCACGTTTAGAGGCGCCTCAAAACCTGCCATGTGCCGCATTCCCCTCGCTGCCCTCACCACGTTTAGAGGCGCCTCAAAACCTGCCATGTGCCGCATTCCCCTCGCTGCCCTCACCACGTTTAGAGGCGCCTCAAAACCTGCCATGTGCCGCATTCCCCTCGCTGCCCTCACCACGTTTAGAGGCGCCTCAAAACCTGCCATGTGCCGCATTCCCCTCGCTGCCCTCACCACGTTTAGAGGCGCCTCAAAACCTGCCATGTGCCGCATTCCCCTCGCTGCCCTCACCACGTTTAGAGGCGCCTCAAAACCTGCCATGTGCCGCATTCCCCTCGCTGCCCTCACCACGTTTAGAGGCGCCTCAAAACCTGCCATGTGCCGCATTCCCCTCGCTGCCCTCACCACGTTTAGAGGCGCCTCAAAACCTGCCATGTGCCGCATTCCCCTCGCTGCCCTCACCACGTTTAGAGGCGCCTCAAAACCTGCCATGTGCCGCATTCCCCTCGCTGCCCTCACCACGTTTAGAGGCGCCTCAAAACCTGCCATGTGCCGCATTCCCCTCGCTGCCCTCACCACGTTTAGAGGCGCCTCAAAACCTGCCATGTGCCGCATTCCCCTCGCTGCCCTCACCACGTTTAGAGGCGCCTCAAAACCTGCCATGTGCCGCATTCCCCTCGCTGCCCTCACCACGTTTAGAGGCGCCTCAAAACCTGCCATGTGCCGCATTCCCCTCGCTGCCCTCACCACGTTTAGAGGCGCCTCAAAACCTGCCATGTGCCGCATTCCCCTCGCTGCCCTCACCACGTTTAGAGGCGCCTCAAAACCTGCCATGTGCCGCATTCCCCTCGCTGCCCTCACCACGTTTAGAGGCGCCTCAAAACCTGCCATGTGCCGCATTCCCCTCGCTGCCCTCACCACGTTTAGAGGCGCCTCAAAACCTGCCATGTGCCGCATTCCCCTCGCTGCCCTCACCACGTTTAGAGGCGCCTCAAAACCTGCCATGTGCCGCATTCCCCTCGCTGCCCTCACCACGTTTAGAGGCGCCTCAAAACCTGCCATGTGCCGCATTCCCCTCGCTGCCCTCACCACGTTTAGAGGCGCCTCAAAACCTGCCATGTGCCGCATTCCCCTCGCTGCCCTCACCACGTTTAGAGGCGCCTCAAAACCTGCCATGTGCCGCATTCCCCTCGCTGCCCTCACCACGTTTAGAGGCGCCTCAAAACCTGCCATGTGCCGCATTCCCCTCGCTGCCCTCACCACGTTTAGAGGCGCCTCAAAACCTGCCATGTGCCGCATTCCCCTCGCTGCCCTCACCACGTTTAGAGGCGCCTCAAAACCTGCCATGTGCCGCATTCCCCTCGCTGCCCTCACCACGTTTAGAGGCGCCTCAAAACCTGCCATGTGCCGCATTCCCCTCGCTGCCCTCACCACGTTTAGAGGCGCCTCAAAACCTGCCATGTGCCGCATTCCCCTCGCTGCCCTCACCACGTTTAGAGGCGCCTCAAAACCTGCCATGTGCCGCATTCCCCTCGCTGCCCTCACCACGTTTAGAGGCGCCTCAAAACCTGCCATGTGCCGCATTCCCCTCGCTGCCCTCACCACGTTTAGAGGCGCCTCAAAACCTGCCATGTGCCGCATTCCCCTCGCTGCCCTCACCACGTTTAGAGGCGCCTCAAAACCTGCCATGTGCCGCATTCCCCTCGCTGCCCTCACCACGTTTAGAGGCGCCTCAAAACCTGCCATGTGCCGCATTCCCCTCGCTGCCCTCACCACGTTTAGAGGCGCCTCAAAACCTGCCATGTGCCGCATTCCCCTCGCTGCCCTCACCACGTTTAGAGGCGCCTCAAAACCTGCCATGTGCCGCATTCCCCTCGCTGCCCTCACCACGTTTAGAGGCGCCTCAAAACCTGCCATGTGCCGCATTCCCCTCGCTGCCCTCACCACGTTTAGAGGCGCCTCAAAACCTGCCATGTGCCGCATTCCCCTCGCTGCCCTCACCACGTTTAGAGGCGCCTCAAAACCTGCCATGTGCCGCATTCCCCTCGCTGCCCTCACCACGTTTAGAGGCGCCTCAAAACCTGCCATGTGCCGCATTCCCCTCGCTGCCCTCACCACGTTTAGAGGCGCCTCAAAACCTGCCATGTGCCGCATTCCCCTCGCTGCCCTCACCACGTTTAGAGGCGCCTCAAAACCTGCCATGTGCCGCATTCCCCTCGCTGCCCTCACCACGTTTAGAGGCGCCTCAAAACCTGCCATGTGCCGCATTCCCCTCGCTGCCCTCACCACGTTTAGAGGCGCCTCAAAACCTGCCATGTGCCGCATTCCCCTCGCTGCCCTCACCACGTTTAGAGGC